GAGAGCAGAGGGAGAATCAAAGCTCCACAGGCAGCCTAATCTACATCGTCGTCGTAAACCGCGTACTCGGGGGTGAGGGAAACACGCGAGTCGTCGCGCACAACGCGTTCGCAAAGCGAGCGAGCAACCGCGGGCTATCATTTCCGGATCACGCATTTCTCCCCGGCACACCCTTGTGCACGGTCGTGCGGTGCCGATCGTGCCATTCGTCACACGCATGCCCGTTACCCTCCATCCGGAAGCTTCGCCACCACCACCACCGCCGCCGTCGACGCCGCCGCCGTCGTCGTCGTCGAGAAAACGCTGCCTTTGAAAAAGAGCCCTCCCACCCTGCGGCCGACCAGTCTTCGACGAACCTTCGTCGACCGAAGGTCGCGGAGCGACTCACCTATATTTAGGCGCTCTTATCACGCGGCGGACACGCACCTTGCACGCACCCACGCGCCTAATCACGCGTATCCGCCCGCCCTAGTTACGCGCCGAGTGTGGTGTCGCCGCATGCGAGGGTGCACCTCCTAGTTTTTCCATTCCCCTCCCTCCCCCCGCCGGAGTTTCTCGCGATTTTCGCAGTGCGTTCCCCGCGTGCGCCACGTTTCCGCGCCACGCCGAAACTGCCGATCTGGAGCAGCGCGTTCGCTGTGGTCCGGAAGCTTCGCCGAGTTCTCCGTCCGTCGAATGCTGATTGCCACCCCCTTCGATTAATCTGCGTTCGCGGAGGGGTAAGGAAAGAGGTAGGGAGGAAGAGGGAGAGAAGAATACGCGTGTCGGAATCACGTTTCTAATTCTGAGGTGACATGCGAACCTTCGCCGCGGGCCGCACTTTCACGCGATGCTCTCATTAATCAACCGCGCGCCCTCGTAAAGGGGCAACTTTGTGCGGGGGTTGTTACGCACGGGGAGGTGAGTGAACAATGGAACACAAAGCCTACGTCATTCTGTGATAGCTCACGTGGTGCGCGCCCGTCTTCTGTGAGAAGCGTCACGGTACACGTCGTATTGGCTTACCGGTATCATTTACGTTTACTCGCGGGGCACTCTCGGTCTCCGTTTTTCCTTCCACGACAATGCGTAAACGTGATGCGGAGAACAGATGCGAATTATTCGGCGAAAGCCGACCGTCGCAAGATTACGTCGAAAGAAACGTTTTGCTAAAGTATACAATATATTGAGATTTAGATCTGAAAATTGTGTTGTTGGATCATCAAAATAATTACAAAGAAATCTCAAATATGATGAGCAAGGTTACAAAAAGTTTTAATATTTTAGCGACTAATTTGAGCTTTTTATATAATTATTTTGATGGTTCGACATAATTATGTTCTAATTTATATCTAAATTTTTATATACTTTAGCAAAATCGTTCTTTCCGTTTAGATACAGATCTAGAAATAAGTTTATTAGGGGTCATCAAAATAATCACATAGAAATCTCAAATATAATAAGTAAGAGTGCAAAAAGTTTTAACATTTGAGCAATTAATTCGAGTATCCTACGTATTATTTTGGTGACCGAACAAAATTATTTTCAGATTTGTATACAGCTAAATTTAGATACTTTAGCATAATCATTCTTTCCGTATAGAGACAGATCTGAAAATAGCTTTATTAGAGCGTTAAAATAATTACATAAGAATCTTAAGCATGATAAGCAGCGCTGCAGAAAGTTTTGAAATTTTAGCAACTCAGTTTGAGCGTTGTACATCATTAATTTGATGGCACAACAAAATTATTTTCAATTTGAATTTCGCTAAATTTAGATATTTCAGCAAAACAGTTCTTTGCGAATACAGATATTGAAATAATTTTGTTGAGTCATAAAAATGATTACAGGAAGAAATCTCAAGTATGATAAGCCATACTGTACAAAGTTTTGACATTTTAGCAATCAGCTTGAGCGTCCTACATAATTATTTTGACGACACAGCAAAATTATTTGTAATATCTAAACCAAATATGTACCTAATAAGATTGGTATCTAATTAAATTTTTAGATATTAATGCAAAATCATTCTATAAATGTATGTCTGTGATGACGAAATGTACATTAATAAGTGACGTCAGGAAATACATGTAATACCCTGCAGTTATGTAATATTACTCAATGATCGCAAATGAAGAAATCATTTTGACGCGCGGCGATAAACGCTACGATCAATCGGCGGAATTGGCTCGCTCACCTTCGAATCGCGAATGAACGGGTGTTTACGTGGACTTGATACAATTCGTTCAGACTTCTCCACGTCACCACGTTGCGCTTTGCTCGCGAGCTAGGGGTAGCACGCTAACGAACAGCGCAAAATTGCGTTTTTATCGACTCGTCGCGGCTTTACTCCGTAAAGCGAGAGACGTGGCAGCGCTCGTGGCCCGTACACGCCTCGTAGGCGAAACTGGGTTAGATCGTCGGCGGGAGTAGGCCTCATCGATCCCGGATTTGAATTCAACGTGAAATTATTCTAGCCCGCGATGCGCGTATTATTCATACCCTGGGATTCATAGCCGGCGGTGCGCGGATCCGCGCTACGTGTCGCCGCGCGTCAACGTCGACGCGCGAAATTAAACAGGGTGACTTTTCTCTGCTCCAGGGATGAGTATACTGGTCCCCTCCGATCGGAAATTTGTCGGCACGCGTGCCGCTGAATTTATCGCCATCAATACCATCATCGGGTACACATGATGGAATCACGCTGTTCATATATTAATATGTCCAGTGATATCACTCCCGCGTATGCATAGATAATGAGACGTGACGGTGGCAGTAGAGTGGCAGCCTTATAGCATTCATATCCCTTAACATTCGAATTCTATAAATGTACTAATGATAAGTTTAAAACAATACTACACTATACCCTTTATGCTATTTCTACACAAAAAGAGAAAACGATTTTTCTGCATAGAAAGGGCGGTTTTGTTCAACTATTTGAAAGTTTAGCTATATACGGGTCTGAAAATTATTTGTCGGACTATCAAAGTAATTATGTAGAATGCTCAAACTGCTGGAGTTAAATTTTTTTGCAACATTGTTTGAAATTCCTACATAATTATTTTGATGGTCTAATATAATTATTTTCAGATCTATATCTGATTAAATTTTTAGATATGTTATATCTAGCTTTTTTAGATACTTAAGTAAAATTGTTCTTTCTTTGTGAAGTATCTAAAAATTTTGGTAGATAAAAATCTAAAAATAATTTTGTCGGAGATCATCAAAATAAATATGTAGGAAATTCAAACAATATGTTGTGAAAGCTTTGATATTCCAGTTCTATTTTGATAATCTAATACAATCATTTTCAAATCTGTGTCTAGCTAAAGTTTTAGATACTTCAGTAAAACCATTCTTTCTCTGTATACTTTCTGTGTTATATGATATTTGTTTTACTACTGTTTTTATTAACATCCTGTTAAAGTTTCTGTATTTTTATCTATTTCTGTATGTATCTTTTGTATATTACTACTTTTTTTTTACTGTTGTTTTTATTAACATTCTAGAATTTCGCGTGATCTATATTCTTGTGTATGGATTGCTGCTATTTCTGCCCTCACTTTACTTTTCCAGTGAATTTTTTATTTCAACAATTGTTTTTATTTTAATAATTGTTTTTATTTCGGTAATGATTTTGTGCGTTTTCTCTCGATTGTAAATCATTCACTTGTCTGTTATATATTTTTTATACTATATAACGAATACAAAGAAATGATTGAGAATATCAAGTGAATAGAGCGTAAGTAATTTGTTGTTGAGTCGATGGTTGGCCTATATAAAGTAAGCGTCATACCAATTTTGATGTTGCGCTAAATAATGAGGGAAAGAAAAAAAATTTTAGGCAAAAATAATATTGAAAAACATCTTAATTACCAGCTAAGACGATATCAAAGTTCCAAGGCTGATAAATAACATCGAAGAAATTTGGCGCACTCGCCTACACTTTAAAGTTTTTTTTTCATACGTACCATGAAAAAAGAATCACAAATTGTTAAATCGATAATGGAAATACTTCAGTTTTCCATAAATAGTCTCAGTGGAGGAATATCAGTAATTAAATTTTGCGAATAAATTAATATTTTAATCAGGCGTTTTAGATACTATCTTCTTCATCAAGTTTTATCTTTTATAATAACGAACTCACAATGATCGATCACATAATTTATGACACATTGTCATAAATGTTCATTTGAT